CCAGGCACTGGCACTGGTTGTGTAGTGTCCTCCAGCACCTTGTTTTGTACTTTACTGGTGTTCGTGCACCTTCATGGGGAACATCTCACTCAGACCAGGCCTGGTGGCCCCAGTCTTTGTATAAAAACCTAAAGCATAAGCCAGGTGTGGGAGAAGAGTGGAACAGAGCTGATTTCTGGCCTCTTGCAGACAGAGGAGGAAAGTACGATCCTTCAGATGGAGAAAAACCTGCGCACGCGCGTGGAGGTGCTACAGAAGCAGAAGCGGGACCGGAAGCAGGAGCTGAAGGCCCTGCAGGAACAGGACCAAGACCTGTGTGACATCCTGTGCACAACTCTGTTCAGCATCGACACCGGCACTGTGCCCAGCCTGGAGGACCTGGACCGCTACCGGCGCCACGTGGCCTCCCTCAACACCCTGAAGGTGAGCCTGGAGAGCGAGGGGGTTGTTGAGGGGCCTGCAAGGGGCCCCTGGTTCCTGACACCACCCTCACCTCCAGGAGCAAAGGCGGGAAGAATTTGTCAGCAACAAGCGTCAGATCATTCTGCTCATGGAGGAGCTGGACCACACCCCGGACACCAGCTTTGAGCGGGACGTGGTGTGTGAGGATGAGGAGGCGTTCTGCTTGTCCAAGGACAACATTGTGGCCCTCCAGAACCTGCTGCAGCAGGTATTTTGTGCTCTGAGGCAGTGTTGGAGGTTGGCGTGTGTGCTGGCTGCAGCTGCCACCATGATGTAAGAGCAACCACTAGGTTTTGGCAAGGCTGTGTGTTGGAACACCCTTTTCAGGGGGGCTGAGGAGATCTCATGTGCCAGGTGTGTGGCTTTGCAGGTGCAGCAGAGCCAAAGGCTGTGCTGATCCCCTGCTCCCTCTCCCTGCAGCTGGAAGCTCGTCGGGCCCTGAACGAGGCTGTGTGCACAGAGCTGCGCACCAGGATCATCGCGCTCTGGGAAAGGCTGCAGATCCCAGAGGAGGAGAGAGAGTCCTCAGCCGTGCACCTGACTGGGTCCAGAATCCAAATCAGGAGAGCTGTAAGGACCCTGTTGTGCTCATGGTGGGAGGGCTGAGGGCAGTAGCTCTGGGGGATCTCATGCTCTTGGTTGCTCCGTGAGGGGTGAGGAGAGCAGGCCAAATTCTGCCTTCATGGAGGGAGGAGCTGGAGGGTGGTGCTGGCAGCTGCCTCATTCTAGAGAGCAGCTCACGCAGAAGATGAACCATGTTCTCCCCCTTTCCTCCCTGACCTGTGCTCTGGTCCCGGGGACAGCTGCAGCAGGAAGTGGACCGTCTGGAGGAGCTGAAGCTGCAGAACATGAAATCCGTGATCCATGCAATCCGGGCAGAGCTAGCTGACTACTGGGACAAATGCTTCTACAGCCAGGAGCAAAGGGAAAGCTTCAGCCCCTTCTATGATGGTGTGTGCTGGCTGTCCAGGTAGTTTTGGGGAGGGATCTGAGTGGTTCCAGCAGCCCCCTGACCTGGCTGTTGTGCCCTTCCAGAGGATTACACAGAGACCCTGCTCGAGCTGCATGATGCTGAGGTGGGCAAGATGAAGATCTACTATGAAACACACAAAGATCTGTTTGAGGCTGTTCAGAAATGGGAGGAGAACTGGAAGCTGTTCTTGGAGCTAGAGGTATTGTCCAGGCAAGAGCATGCCAGGTCGTGGGTCAGTGTGTACCTCTGCTCCTGTGGGAGAGTGCTCTGGGACAGAGCAGGGAGGCACTGGGAAGTCATGGTGGGCCAGTGCAGGGATGAGGTGCTGTGTTTCAAGCATTGAAGTGTTTGTGCAGGGCTGGCTCCTCTGGAGCCTTCACCATGTGAGGTTGAGGGGATTGAGTGGTGTGTTCGTGTCTCTCCTGACCACCCTTCTCCACCAGAGTAAAGCAACTGACCCCAGTCGCTTCACCAATCGTGGAGGAAACCTTCTGAAGGAGGAGAAGCAGCGAGCAAAGCTGCAGAAGACGCTGTCTAAGGTAGGTCCAGCCCTGGGGCAGGACCTGTGATGACAGGAAAAGGGATCCTTAAGTGTGGGACACCTCTGTTCAGGGCAGCCCCTACACTGCCCTCATGTCCTGATCAGCTGCAGGAGGAGCTGGAGAGAAAGGTCCAGACCTGGGAGCAGGAGTTCAAAGGAGCTTTCCTGGTGAAGGGGCAGAAGTTCATGGAGTATGTGTCGGAGCAGTGGCAGCTGTACCGTCTAGAGAAGGAGAAGGAGAAGCAGGAACGGGTGAGTACAGAGCTGAGCATGTTGGCTTCTGCCTGGGAGTGTCCCTGGCTCCTGCCTAGGAATGCCAGCCTAGGGGTGTCCCTGCTGGGTCCCAGCCACTGCTCTGGGCTCTAGCTGCTCATTCCCAGCTTGGAAGTGGCAGGCAGTGGGGCTGGTGCCCATTGCTGTCACGTCCGCGTGGGCCGAGCCCCTTTCCGGCCCTAGCTGTGCTAGAGGTGACACTTGGCTCTGGATACCTGATACTCTGATGAAGTTCCTGCTGTGTGGCTGTGGCAGGCTGGCTGCAGGGCAGTGCCTACTGGCAGTGTCACACAGATGCACCAGGGTGTGTAAGTGCAGGTGTCTCCCACAGCACCTGAAGAAGAGCCGGCAAATGGAGACGGAGATGCTGTATGGCAGCACCCCACAGACACCCATTAAGCGGCGCATGCTCAGCCCCCACACACCTGCCAAAGTAAGCAAGGTAAAATGTCCCTGCAGAGCAGTGTGGTGAGCTGGGGTCCTGCCTGGAGCTGAGCTCTCCCTGGGCTGGAGCACAACCTTGGGCTGGCCTCGGCCCTGTGGGGAAGGGTCAGGGTGCTGCAGCCCCATGGGAAGATGTCCTGTGTGATATGTGCTCTGCTTTCCCCTCAGCTCCACAGCACCTTCAGTGCCAGCACCACATCCAACAGCACCATTCGCTCAGCCTTTGGGGGAGCCATCTCCCACTCGCCCACGTCTCGGTTGCCACCCTCTGGGAAGAAGGTGAGGGGCCTTGGGGGAGTCCCTGCCTGGGGCTGGGCTGGAAGGGACAAGTGAGCAGAGGTGGTGCAGCTCTTCTTGCTGTCACCCCACGGTTCACTGCCTCCCCTGCTAAGCTCGTAAGGGACAGGAGCCTGTTTATCTGCAGTCTGCTCTGCATCCTACTGCAGTGTTTGGGACCTGAAGGAGGAGGAGGGTGCCAGCAATCTTCCTCTACAGATTTCTAGTGCAGCTGTTCCTCAGTGCTGAGCCTGCAACTTAGGGGACCTTCAAAATGTGTGTGTGCTGCCAGACAGGGCCTGAGCATCCTTGTCTAGTGAGTGGCATCCCTGCCTATGGCAGAGGGGTGGAATGAGATGGGCTTTAAAGTCCCTTCCCACCCACATGACTGCAGGATGCTGTGATTCTGTGCAGTATGTTTCAGGGGCCAGAACTGGACCCCAGAGTCTGGAGAGCTCCTAGAGCCTGACACTGCTCTGGCTCCACAGACTGATGGGTACTGAAGCTGCCACAGCTCTCCTGCCCCTGCTCAATTCCTACATCCCATAACTGTCACCTCTCCCCACAGTTTGGCCAGGCCCGGACTCCCACCCGCACGGCAGCGAAGCCCCCCCGATCCAGGCTGAGGGAGCGAAACAAGGAAAACATGTCCCAGCTGGATGGAACCACCCTGAGCGGTGGGTGCACCCCCACAGCCCCTGCCCAGCGTAACCACAGCGTTAGTTCTGTTGCCAGCACCTATTCTGAGTTTGCGGTAATTCACCTCTTCTAACCCCACCCTCCTCGCTGCAGAGCACAGAACCTTTGCTCCCTCCTGTGTCCCCCTCGGTGTCCTCTCACAGGGTGGCTGCCCCTGCCTCCCCAGGGAGAACTTCAGAGTTGGTGGCAGAGGGCCCTGAGCAGCCAGTGGGGACACAGCAGCCACCAGCCCAGAGGACAGGCTGCGGTCGGGGACACAGCTGTGCAGGGACAGAGCCTGGCAGGGTGCAGTGAGCAGAGCTTGGAGAGGGGCTGCTTTCCTCTCTCAGGGTGGGGGGCCCTGGACAGCCTCTGTCCTCCCATCAGGCTGGGCTGAGCCAGAGATTTACTCTGTGACACTACCCAGAAGAGTTTTATTTTTCATACATTTGGTAAAGAAAGGAATTAATGTTCATTGCCTGTAAGTTACACAGTTCCCATATTAATTTGTATTCCATCTCCTTTTGGCAGCCTGGCCTGCCTGCCTCTGTCCCCACTGAAATGTGAGGCAGCAGCCCTCTCCCTTCCCTCATCCCTCTCTCTCACTTCTTGTTTCCACAGCGCGGACTTTCAAAGGCTTCCAGGTTTGAAAGCACCTCTGACGTTCTCAACTCCACCACCAACACTGCCTTCTGATGAATCCCTGCTCTGGCGTGAGGCCCTGCTCCGGCGGTGACGCAGGGCCTGCACCATCTCCCGCTCCAGGATAACCCTCCCCGCGGTTGCTGCTTAGAAATGTGCTTTTATTTAAAAAATCTCTAGCTGTTGTGAATAAAGTCCTTGTACAGCCCCCAGCTCTGAGGGTCCTGGGGGGTCCCCGGAGGGCGGGGGCGACAGAAGGGGCGGGGCCAATGGAGTCTCAGCCAATCAGAAATCGGGCTCAGGTCGCACCTTTTTTGGCCAACCACATCCAGCAGCTCCAGCTCGTGTCCTGATTGGCCAAACCACAGCTCCGAGCCGCGAGCTGATTGGCTGGAAATGCTGCCGCTGCAATCCGTGTGGTGATTAGCCAGATAAAGGGCACCAAATCATTTCCTGATTGGCTAAAAAAACCCCGAACTTTCAATCCTCATCCTGATTGGCTAAAAAAGCTGGAGCGTCCAGCTGTCCTGATTGGCCGAATAGGCGGAAGCGCCGATCCGCGGTTGCGGAACTGCAGCGGCAGCCCCCGGCCCTGCCCAGCGAAAAGCCGCAGCCTCAGTCCCTCACCAAAAGGGATTTTTTTCTGAGCAAAAAGCTCCACTCCCCAAACCGCCCTCGGCCCTTCTCAGCTGCTCGCTCTCCCCCCGCACTGTGGAGACAACCACAGGGTGAAAGCCGGAAAACTTGCGATCCGAAACAGTGCAGGAAGCAAAAGCCACACAGAGCAAAGCAACACCAAGAATTCATTCCCTCCGCTCACCATCACCAGGGTCGGTGCTCAGCCTCCCCAGCACAGCAGGATACCAAGTTATCATGGTAATGATAACCTGGGGACAAAACCACTACCTCCGAGCATCCCCCCCTTCCTTCTCCACTTTCCACACTGGCCATGATGCCAGTCTGGGATACCTCTGGGCTCAGTTGGGGGTCCCCTGGTCCAGCCGTGGGTCCCAGCTCCAGAACCCAAGTTCCTCTGCACCCCACAGCAGAGCAGAATCGGCCTCAGCTCTGCACTGCTCAGTCACAACATCCCTGAATTACACCGTGTTCACACAAACCACAACCACGGCCCCACGCAGTCCCTCTCCCCAGGACAGCTTCACTGGAGCCAGAGATGCTGGAACACGTCTCTCACACACACCAACACTGCAGCCCTTATGGAAAGGTGAATTTAATAAACACACCCAGCCCATCTCAGGGTGTCCCTGGCCCTGATGCAGCTGCAGCCCCACTCCCGGGTGTGAATCAGGTCACTGTGGGCTAAACTCAGCCCCACCCTGTGCTGCAGCAGGGCTGCCTGCCCTGGCCCTGAAGACAGAGTGGTCCTGGATCTGGTCCTGCAGAGCACAGCCTGCCCTCATCCCCCATCTGGCAGCACCCACCGGTTGCGGGTCCTGGGGCCCTCATGGCTCCCGCACTCGGATATAGGTGGTCCAGGGCCCACAGACCACCTCCTCCACCCGCAAGCCCTTGGCCACCAGGTGCTCGACGCGGCGTGCCTGGTCAGAGCTGATGTTGTTCCCATGTCCCAGCTGTCCGTATTTACCTGCAGACACACATTCCTGACAAAACGTGGCCCTGGGGCCTCACAGGGAAACTGCTCCTGGTGTTTATGGGGAGGAAGGGAGGGAACACAAGGGCCCCAGTACAGCTGGAACAGTTGTAGAGCAACAAAAGAGCCAAGGACGAGAGAACAGGAACCAGAAGCTGCTCCTGGGGAGGTTGTACAATCCCAAAGCAGAGGTGTCACTTACCCCAGCCCCAGGTGTAGAGCTCCCCGCCTCCTGCAATAGGGACAGCACCATCAGGCAGCAGCCACTGAGCTCCATCCCCCACAGCCCTGCCCCTGCTCCCGGGGGCACTGCCCACCAGGGCCTGGTGAGCCCTGGCACCTCTCAGCAGCCTTGCCCCCAGAGGCGCTGCCCCCTGCCCCGCTGGACACTCACGTGTGACCACGGCTGTGTGTCGGGAACCACAGCTGACTGTGCTGACCTCCAGGTCCTGGGGCAGATCCAGCAGTGCCGGGAACGCCTGGATGGAGATGAATGCGGCATCCTCGGCAGCCAGCTGCTCCCGGGAGGGCATCAGCTTGGTGCTCCCTGCAGAGGAGGTAACACCAGCATCGCTTGCAGGCTTGAACCGCACTGGCCCTGCACTGAGCCGTGCAGGAACCCGGCCCACCATGCCCTCAGCCCGGCCAGCAGCACTCACCCGTGCCCGTGTCCTCATCCTGCGCTCGCTCCTCCGCCAGCGCTTTGGAGGGCAGAGCCAGCTGCCCCGACTCGTTCCAGCCCCACACATACAGGTCTCCTGCCTCTGTGGGGTGGGGGGAAAACGCATCAGGCAGAGCTTAGCCCTGAGCCCCACCCACCGGCAGAAACCAGTGCTCCAAGGACACCAACACCCCATATTCCCCAAGCCAGGTCCCACCAGGGCCATATGTGCCACCAGCATCCCAACCTCCCGTGCCCAGCCCAGCCCCTTACCGCTAACGCTGGCAGAATGCCACCCGCCCGCCGCCACCGCCCGCATGGGCACCCCGGCCAGCGCCTCCACCAGCCGCGGCTGCAGCTCAGACTCCAGCAGCCCGTGGCCCAGCTGCCCATGCCTGCAGAGACACAGAGGGACAGACGGACATGCCCACAGCCCGCTGCCTCCAGCTCCCGTGTGCCCACAGTGCCCACCAAGCTCCTCCTGCTGCCACCAACCCAGCTCCAGCCTGGCAGAGCCCGAGAGCTGAGGGAACAACCACAGCTGAACAGAAGAATCAACCCCATGAACAGGAAAAAGCCAAGCAGCAATTGGAGAGCGATGCCCAGCACCAGACCACCACAGTTACGGCCAGAGGTCGGTGGGAAGCAGTGGGACACAGCACCAGGGGCTTTAGTCGTTAAAGACGGGGCAGAAGCAGGAGGAGCTGGCTGGAGCTGTAGGGGTGAGAGGAGCTGCAGAGTGGTGCCTGTTTGGTCTGGGGAACTTCAATGTGACAGCTTGGGATGTCAACAGTCATGCTGATGCACGGCCCTGGAAAGGCTCTTCACATTCCATATGGGAAATCTGCAGAGGACTGAGGCAAAGAGACACTGAGAGCTGAGGGGCAGGGAAGGGCATGCTGCAGTGGGAACGTGGCTCTGGGCACTCCCTCACAAGAGGGCAATGGTGACTGCAGCCAGCAGAAAGAGAGGGGCTACAAAGGGGTGAGCTGGGCCAGCACCTGGCTATCACACAGCACAGCTGGCACACCGTGGGACACAGCTGCTGGGGCTGTGAGCTGGCACAGCTGCTGGCACAGGCATGCGTCAGAAGATTCTCAGCTGGGCTGAATAACCAAATTTCAAAAAAGTTAATCCTCGAGTACACATCCTCACATGTAGAAACCTTTTCTCTGAAGGGAAGGCAAGAAGGACCAAATAATGTAGTGTCTGCAAATCAACAACTGCTGATGTAAATCGAGTGTCGTGTTTGCCATGAACTGTGTGTGCTACCAGCTAGCCCAGAGGCAGCGAGCGAGGAGCGGGGACTGGGGAGTGAAACACTCCTGAGTGATGAGCACCAGGGAGGGCACTGGGCCAGGGCACGCAGCTGTGACAGTGACTGATGATCTGATGATCAGTACTGGGTTTGTCTTCCATAAGTAGCAAAGAGGAACACAGCAACCCTTCCACTCTACAATGAGAACAACTAGTTCCTGCAGCCAAGCCTCATCGTGTACCAGCAGAACTCAGGGATCCGGGGCAAAGGGGACCTGTGGCTGGGCTCTCCAGCACCTTCTGGGAAAACCTGACTGGGGCAGCAAATACACAGACAACCTCCTAATGAACAACTGTCCTAGAGTGACTTTATGATGCTTGCATCCCAAATCATCTGTTCTATTTATGCTGGATATTAAGTTTTGCACCTTTAAGACTGGTTCCAAGAGTGAAGGGGGAAAAAAGAAGAGCCCAGTTTGTTTTCAAAAATCGCACTCCCCCACATCCTTCTCCTAGACTGTGCTGTCTGCAGCACAAACAGACAGCAGGAGAGAGCTCGCCTTTGCTTTTTAGTTAGTTTATTTTAGCTTGCTGAGGCAGTGAAGTTCCCCAGACTATGATTTTTCTTTTTCTTAGAACTGTTCAAACCTAGTCTAGACCGAAAAGCCAAAAGAACACCAAGAGCTCACACCTATAATCCACGAAAGCCTAGGACACTGCATTCCAGCACCAGAAAGACTGATAAAAGACTAAGCAAGCCAACCTACACATCACGAAATAAACTTTCTAAATTTGCCATCTCTTCAGAACAGCAAAAAATTTTATTGTTTAATATTATTCACTTTTTATACTTGTGAATACTTTGCTTATTAAATAAACAGGATTTTTCCACTTTTCTCCAGAGAAATCTATTCCCAAATCAACTTGAGGAAGGGGCTGCTTGAATTTACTTTCTGAAAGAACCCCATTCAGAAATTTCCTGCCAAAATTTACCCTAAACCAAAACGAATACAACAACAAATGCCTTAGTGAGAATAAACTGAGCAGTGCCACCAGCTGTTAAATGCACCCAAATTCAGCTGTGGTGACACAGGGTGCTGGAGACTTTTCCCAGGGAGTTCACTCCCCTCCCACAGGCTGTACCAGAGGGACCTGACACTGAACTGTCACAGACTGAATTAATCTCCAGTTCAGAAACACAAGAGCTTTTCTGCCAGCTGGTGCTTGTATGGCAAGTTACAGAGGAGCAGGGACAGAGTAGGGACCTTGATGGTCATACAGAGACCCAAGTGTCCCTGGAGACTGCCCTGAGGGAGGCAAAAGTCAGAGCAGAGGCCAGAGTCAGTAGCCCACCACCTAGAGAGGTGAGAGGGGCCCATGAGACCAGCGAGGATGGACTCAGTGGGAAAAGGGGCATGGCCAGGCCAGCACTCCCCAAGAGAAGCTGTGAGTTTGGATGCCTGTGGTGGGGGGACCTGGCTCTGATGAGAGACGGATCCCATCAGCATGTGGGTGAGCACCGGGCACCTGCAGCTGGTACCCCAGTACTTCTCTCAGCTGTAACCTTGTCTCATTCCCAAATCCACCCCCATGGGAAAGTCAGGATGTATATCCCAGCCCCAGGCAGTGTGCGCAGGCTAATGGGGGCTGGGCTCTGAGGTGACTGATTCCGACATCCTCTCACCTGCGCTCCCCAAAAATATTCTCCCATATTCCCCACATCCCTTCTGCACTCTCACGCCCCTTCTGCATCCCCATCGTTCTCTCTGCATCCCACCAGCACAGCGCTCATAGTGCTGGAGTTCCTGAACGCCCCCCGCCGCCGTCCCTCTCCTGCACCCCTCAGTCCCTGCTCACCTGCCGCCGCCCCAGGAGAAGACCTCCCCGGCGGCGCCCAGCGCTAGGGCGTGCTCCGTGCCCAGAACGAGCCGCCGGGCCCGCACGCCAGCGGGCAGTGCGGTGAAGAACGGCGGCCGCGGCGTGGCGAAGCCGCCGGGCAGGAGCGGCAGCGGCCGGCGGGGCTCCGGCGGCAGCTCCCGGCTCCAGACGGGCTCGTCCTGCAGCGCTCCCCTCACCGCCGCCTCCCGCCGCCAGGCACGGGCCGCGGCCGGGCCCCGCAGCACCAGGTGCGTCTCGGACGGCAGCGCCTCGGCCCAGCCCGGCAGCCGCCGCCGCAGCCCCGCGCTCCGCACCTCCAGCCCCGCGCCTGCCGCGGCGGCAGCTCAGCCACCCAGGCTGGGGACAGCCCGGGGGCCTGGGGGAACGGGACGGGAACGTCACCGGGGGACCGGCGGGGAGGGAGCATCCCGGAGAAAGCGGTGGGAGGGCGGGGATCCCATCCCGGGGGAAGCGGCGGGAGGGCGGGGATCCCATCCCGGGGAAAGCGGCGCGGTGGGAGGGTGGGGATCCCATCCCGGGGGAAGCGGCGCGGTGGGAAGGGACGGACAAGACGAACCGAGGCGACCGGCGCAGGAGCGCGGTGGGAACGGGACCCGCCCTCCGGGGCAGCGGCAAGGGGAAGCGGGCACAGGCCGGCCAAGGGCCGCACTGGCCCCGCGGGAGGGACTGGGGCTCCGGGCGGGCCGGGGGCGCTCACCGGTCTCCACGACCACGTAGCTCCAGGCGGGCCACACGCGGGAGATCCCCTCGGGGCCCGCCTCCAGCCGCCACGGGCCCGGGCCCGGGCCCGGCTCCCCGGCCGCCTCTTCGGGGCTGAATCCGAACACGAGCCAAACGCAAGCGGCCGCCGCCATGGTTGGGGCGGCACCGGGAGGAGGAACCGGACGTGACGACGGAGGACGGACGGACAGAGCCGGGCCGTGGTCCAAGAGTAGCTTTAGTGTTACCGGGTGGGCCGAGCTCCGCCGCGCCGGTCCCGCCCCGGGCCGGCCCTCCCGGCTAAGGCAGACGGTGGCAAAGGCAGCGGCAAGCCCTGTCCCTGTCCTGCCGCTCGCCCCGGGGCACCGGGCGGGCAGCGTGGCCCCGGCCCCGGGCAGTGCTGAGCCAGCTCCGTGCGCAGCCAGACCCCGCCAGGGCCGCCCTGAGAGCAGCGTGTGAGCACCAGCCTGGGCAGCGTGTGCGGCCTGTGCGGGGGCCCCCGGGCCCTCAGGCGTGCCCAGGGTTGGGCTTGATTAGGCCGTAAGCCACTGCGTGTGCCAGGCTCTCCTGGGCCGCCTGGGCCACCCGCGGCTTGTCCTTGTCCTTGGCAAGCACCGAGAGGATCTCCAGCATCTCGCTTGCGATGAGCTGCTCGGCCACCTCCCGAGCAGCTGCCATCATGTTCATCACCACCACGGCGCCACGGTGCTGCAGCTCCGCACTGGGGCTCAGCAGCAGGGCCTGCAGGATCTCCAGCCAGTGCACCGTCTGCAGGGGAGTGGGGCCAGCATCATCACGGACCCCAAGAGGAGGGCCCCAGCTCCCCCCCTACAGCTCCATCGCAGAGCTCCATCAGGCCCAAGTCACCACAGGCTGCCCTGTGTTCTGGGGCCAGAGCTCCAGGCCACCACAAGGAGGGAATATAGGACACAGGATGCTGTCCCAGGGTCCTGGGACAGTCCAGCCCATCCTGGGCACTCACCACCTGGGGAATGCGCTTGCAGATGGGGGGATGCAGGGCAGTCAGCATGGCCAGGGTCCCCGAGGCTGCCCGCCGCAGCTTCTCATCCTCCTCCCCGCTGTACAGGACCATCAGCTTCAGCCGGTCGCTGCCCTCAGCCAGGAACATCTCCTGCACCTGCAGGGGAAAGAGGAGGAATTGTGTGGGGGTGTGGTGGCCCAGCAGCCCACCACAGACCCCAGCCCATCCCAGCCTTCACCTCCTTGCTCATGGCCATGTTGCACATGCACTCAGTTGCAGCTAGCCGGATCAGCTCGTGCTCCTCAAACATGTACCCCTCAATCATGGGCACAGCCCGCTCTTTCAGGATCTTCTGCCTGGGAGGCCAGCAGGCAGTGAGCACTTCCTGCCCAGGGCAGCCTGCCAGGCCCAAAGGGGACAGACAGCCCCCTTCTTCCCCCATCCCTACCGCAGCCTCTCGCTGATGCCAGCCAGGTTGGTCAAGGCCATCAGCCCCTCAAAGTTCTCCAGGCCCGTGCGCTGCAGGTGCAGGAGGCTGACTAGGGGCCGCACCACCTCATAGATCTGTGGAGACAGAACACATGGAATGGAGTCAATCCCCACTGCTGCTCCCACACGAGCCCCTGCCTGGCAGACCCAACCCCCAGCCCCAGCACTCACCCGCTCCCCTGGGAATGCCATCTCCGGGTTGGAGGTGATGGTGATCTTTGCTAGGGCCTGCGCTGCCTTGGTCTGCCCCACCTCAGTGCCCTCCAGGGACAGTGGGATCAGAGCCTGGGGGCAGAAACAGCAGCTTGTCCTGCAGCCAAGGCCACAGCACCCAGGGCAGCCACAGCTTCCCCCAGCCTCATGTCCAAGACAGCCAGTGCAGCCCCTGCTAAACCACAGAGCCCCAGCTGCCCCCAGCCCCAGCACCCCCCAGAGTGGTGCAGGGCAGAAGCACAGTGGGGTCCATGCTCTCACCTTGCCTCCTCCCTGAGCAACCACACCACCCCGGTCTTCTGCCTCCTCCACCAGCGCTAGGAACACTCTAGGGACCAAACGGGGTAAGTTGCAGCATTTGGATAGTCACAGTTAGGCCCAGGCTGCACCAGACTCCTGGACATCCCCCCTACTGTCCAGGAGCTGGCCTTCACCACAGGCACATAAATTCACCAGAAGGATGGCAACAGCCTGGGAACCCAGCCCCTCCTGTTCCTGGCACGGTCGCACCTGGAGATCAGCTCCCGGCAGGAGCTGGTGAGTGCTGGGTTCTCACTCTTCACCATGCAGGCCAGAGCCGACACCACTCCAGCCATCAGCAGCTTCCGCACCCGCCGCTTCACAAACTCTGGTTTGTCCTGTCCCACAGGTAAGGTCAAATTTGGCTCAGGAGCACCAGCTGCCTGGTCAGGTGCCCAACCTGTCCACACCTGGAAACCCAGTCTGTGTCCCACCCACCCACTCTCCTCCCAAGCACAGCCGTGCCCTGCTCACCTTGGGGTGCTGCTCTGGGATGTGCTGCTTGGCATACTTGGCCAGCTCCAGCATCTGCGGGTCCGGCTCCTCATGGTCATAGCTGTTGGTGCAGTTCACCAGCGTGGAGGCAACAGCATAGAGCACACTCCTGTCCTCTGACTGCGGCGACAGTGGGCACCTGTCACACCCACAGCCAGGAGGAGCAGCCAGGACTGGAGCCCACCCAGCTTCTCCCACACATCCTACCCCAGAGCATGAACCCCACATCCACTCCAGCACATTTCCCTGGTGCTAGGGTGCCCATCCCACAGCTCTTGGTATGCACCTTGGCCAGGTGGAACATGGCCTGCATTGCTGCCTTGTCCTCCACAAACTCCTCCTTGACGTCTGCATCGAAGGTGAGGTAGGCCAGGCCCTCTACAGCCCAGCGCCGCGTGCCTGCATCGATCGCCTCGTTGCAGAGCCACCTGTGAGAGTGGTCCCTGAGCCTGGCTGTGGACAGCCCAGCTCCAGGGAGCCCAGCTGTGGGGCGCCTTGCCCACACCCCCACGCCTGGCCCCGCTCACTTGCGGCACTGCTTGGCCAGCTTCATGGTGGATCCCTCAGCAAACTGCTTCATGCTGAAGTCTGTGCCTCCAGCAGATCCCAGCTTGCAGAGCCCCTGCAGCCAGGAATAGAGTGTGGGAGCAGGAATGGATGTAGGCAACCTGATGAGTCTCCTGGACCCCCAGCAGGGGGGAGCAGCACTGTGACCGGTGGTCCTGCACCCACAGCCCACCCTAGGGCTCAGCCCCAGCACATCCTGTCCCACCGTGCTCACCACGAGTGCACGGATGCGGATGCTGTCCCTCTCGCTGTGCTTGTAGATCTCCTTGAGCAGGTTGACTCCGTTGGCTGTGATGAAGGAGGCGCGCTTGGCCTTGTCGGCTGCATGGATCAGCGCCTCCACCGCTACCAGCTGGTGGGCCTCACACACAGAGGCACAGAGGGACAGCACACTGTCCATGATCCCCTCCAGCTCCAGCACCCTGTTCCCTGCATCTGAGGGACCCTGCAGCAGGCACGACACTGTCTGAATGGCCCGCAGCTTCCCTGGCAGCTCGTGCCCCTCGAACCAGCTCCTTCAAGGAAAGACCAGCAGAAAGGGTCAGGATGATCCACCTGCCTCTTCCTGCCTCACGTGCCTCACCTCACCCACAGCAGTCCCCAGTGGGTCTGCAGTCAGCTTTAGCACTGAAGTGCTGCCAGGCTGCAGGTGACAAAACCACCGTCACCCCCAGGAAAAGTGGACTCGCCTCACATAGTCCTCGCACAGATGGTGGAAGTTTTCCCTCTCAGCATCACACTTCAGGTCCTCATACAGTTTGCTCAGCAGAACAGAAGTGCTCATCCGGCTGTTCTCTGTCACAGGCAGGCTGCCCAAGCTGCCGCACACTGTGCTGCCCACCTCCAGGATCTTCTTCAGGCCTGGGAAAGGTCAGACAGCCCAGTGAGGGGCACAATGGCATGTGCAGACCTGGGGCAGAGGAGCACAATGCCCCACCAGGACACTGCTAGTGATTCCACTAACCCTGGTCAATCACCCAGAGGCTCAGGCTGTTGTTGGTTTCCTTTGGTGACTTCCTGGGCACCACCTTGATGAGGAGGTTGAGGGCGTTGTCACGGCCGTGTGCTGAGGCTCCTTCCAGCACAAGCAGCTCCAGGAGGTGCTTGATCAGTAGTTTCAGGTCCCTGGAGGAATCTTCCAAAAAAGACAGTGCCCAGCAGTCAGCATCCTGGGCATGGCCTCACCCCCACCGTGGTAGAGCTGGCAGAGATGCTGCCATGACCAGAGGCTTCTGCTGCCTGTTAACCCTGGATCAGAGCTTGGCTTTGCTGCAGGGAGCAGTGACAGGGCAGCAGCAAAAAATTCATGGCATCTCTGCACCTACCTGGGGCTCTCCCTGTACAACAGCCAGCCAGGGCAGCCCACACTCACCCAGCACCACTGCATCCTCCTTCCCACGGAAGTCTTTCTGCAGCCCCTCCTTCAGGGAATCGAACATCACGTGCAGCAGGTTACAGGCAGCCAGGGACACCTGCTCATGCTCCACACCCAGCACTGCCGCAAGACGGGGTGCCCCCAGTTCTGCCAAGACGGCCGTGGTCTGCAGGTACAAGCACACCTGTCTTCCAGAGGCCTTGGGGAAGCCTTGGCATTTCCCAGCCCCTTATCAGGATGGTTTCCTCTCACAAATTCAGGCCTCGCAGGCAACAGCTCAGAGCTCGCCTGTCTGACACTTTGCAGCCTCCCCAGCATGGCTTTCCCCTGGGCCCAGCCGTGTGGTGTGGTGGGACCTACACGAGAGCGGTGGCCGGAGCACAGCCCCACCAGTGTGCGCAGGGCTGCCAGCATCAGGTCGGCCTTGGCCGTGTCCAGCAGCTGCATCAGCAGCCGCACACCGTCACTCTGGAAGATCTTCTCTGCTCCAGCCTCTTCTCGTGCCAGCACGATCAAGTTCTGTGCAGCCTGGGGAAGAAGGGTTCTGTCTGGGTCACAGCAGCACACTGCACACGGAACTGCTGGTAGCTGTAGGCACCCACCCTCCACCCCTGTCTCGGGGAGGATTCTGCATGGGGCAAGCCTGACCTGCCCAGGTAGCCCTACCCAGCCACCACTGGCCCAGGAGCAACAATCCTCCCCTCCTCTCCTCCCAGCCACAGCACTGCACCCCG